GTTTGAAAGTAAACGGGGGCACCAAGAAGGCAGAATCAGGTCAAAGTTTCCAGGGAGATGGAGGTGGAGGCTGTGGTGACGACTAAGGAGAAGTTCGTGAAGGGAACATTTTTGCATAAAGAAAACCCACATTCCAGTTCTGGGAAAAGAGTCATGATTCTTCCCTATTTCCCTATATTTCCTCTTTTGCTCATTGCAGCAATGAAGCACAAATGAAACTGCACAGACAGATGTGAGGTGAGTCTCTGCTGATCTGAGTCTGCCCTGCAGCCTGAATTTGCATCTTCCCTGAAGCCCCCCCAGGGCTGCTGAGAGGACTGGCTGTGGCAGGAACCCCACAAGGATATGCTTATGGATGAGCTGAAGGAGAAAGTGAGACCCCACGGGAAGGTGCTGAGAGGAAGGAAGAGTCCTCCATTGCCTTCACCTGGAAGGGACCAACTCAGGAAGGAACCACATCCATTTGCAGCTACCTACTGGCCATAAATGAGATGAGGACAGGTCCGGCAGACAGTGAAAGGAGATCAGGGAGATCCCATGTTTGTCTGAAATATCAGCAGAAAACCTGGTGCCTGTCTCAGCCCAAGCCCTGGGAAAACAAGAGCCAGGCTTGTGGTTGTGGGGGGGATGGTTTGCTACCCATGGAGATGCTTATGGAAAAATCCTGTAAGCAGGGGATCATGGCTCTGTGTGCCCACACCCTGTGTGTTCTGTGGACACCATGGTCTCTTTCATCTGCACAGCCAGGGCCAGTAGCAGGAGACCCCATGACTCTCACACCCATGTCCATGGCCCACTTCACTGAGATCTGACGAGGGGAATTCTAACATGAGGGGGACTCTGCCCTGCAGGTAGGCCCTGGTGCAGTAGGAGACCCCAGGGGCTAGGGAGGATTCCATTCCCATTTTCTTTTTTTTTGAGGCAGAGTCTCACTCCATCACCAGGTGCCGGGCTGGAGTGCAATGGCGTGACCTCAGCCCACTGCAACCTCTGCCTCCCAAGTTCAAGCAACTCTCCTGCCTCAGCCTCCCCAGTAGCTGGGACCACAGGTGTCCACCACCATTCCCAGCTAATTTTTTTGTATTTTTAGTAGAGATGGGGTTTCACCATGTTGGCCAGGATGGTCTTGATCTCTTAACCTCGTGATCCACCTGCCTGGGCCTCCCAAAGTGCTGGGATTACAGGCCTGAGCACCCGACCTCCATTCCCATTTTCTTGGGAAAATATTTTCAATTCTCCCCATTCACTTTGATGTTGCCTCTGGGTTTTCATGTAGGGCTCTTATTTTGAGGTATGTTTCATGCCTAGTTTGTTGAGGGATGTTGGACTTTAGTGAATACTTTATCTTCACCTATTCACATGATTATAGGCTTTGTGTTCTAAGTTCAAGTTTGTGCCATGAGTCCCCTTTGTTGACTTCCATGTATTGAACCCTCCTTTCATCCTGGGAGGAAGACAACTTGATCATGATGAATTATGTTTTTGATGCACTGTTAGATTCTGTTTGCTAGTATTTTTTGACGATCTTTGCATCTGTGTTCATCAGGTTTCTTGGCCTGTAGTTTTATTCTTCTGTTGAGTCCTTGTCTGACTTTACTATCAGGGTAATACTGGTTTCATAGAATGAGCTAGGAATGAATCCCACTTCCTTGATTATTTGGGAATAGCTTCAGTGTGATTGCTACCAGCTCTTCTTCGTACATGTGGTGAAGTTTGACGGTGAATCCATCTGTTCCTGGGCTTTTTTGCTGGAAGAAGTTTTAGTAGTGATTCTTTTTCATTGCTTGTTGTTGGTCTGTTGAGGGTTTCTATTTTTTCCTGTGCAATCTTGGGAAGTTGTATGTGTCTAGGAATCCATCCATTTTCTTCTAGGTTTTCTGGTTGATGTGCATCAAGGTGTTCGCGGTCGTCTCTGATGATCTTTTGTATTTCTGTTGTGTTGGCTGTAATGTCATCTTTCTCATTTCTGATTGTGCTCATTTAAATCTCGTTTTTATTGGTTAGCGTAGTCAGCCGTCTGTCAATTATGTGTATACTTTCAAAAGCCCAACTTTTTATGTGGTGCCACAACATTCAGATTTGTCACACATGAGAATCCTCACACTGATTCCTTCTCATCCGGAGAGGCTGCCACTCATTCTCTTTGGATTTTATTTCACCGGGATGGGGTTCCTTTGCACATTTCCCCCAGCCCCACAGGGAGTGTGACTGTAGAGTATGTTGGGAAGGGTCTTTTGACTTTTTCCATAGTCTTGGGCGCTTCTGCAGCAGGGTTTGTGTTGGGCTTGCGGTTCAAATTGCAGGCCGGGAGCTGGTGCTTAAGGGGAAGAGCCAGCCTCTGCACAAGCAGGTGGGTGTGGACCTGTCTGCTTCCTGTGAGGTGCTGTCCGTTGTTTCAGGTGAAGGGCTGGACTATGGGGTGCCTGGAGCCCTGAGCTTCCTGTTCCGCGGGGTGAGGAAACACAGCTGGGCAGAGCCGGAACCCCTGGCTTACCCACAAATATCCCAATGATGAGTGCAGGCACCAGGTCTGATGGGGTGGCTGGGCCAACTCCTGGTGAAATGCCCTGAGGTTTCAGGTGCCGGCTGTGATGAGGAGGGATGGGCCAGGTTCCAGGTCACTGGCAGAACTCTCAGGTGGGGCAGGCAGAATGCTCAGGTGGTAGAGCCTGGGGGCAGATCACAGGCCTGTGGAAACTGGGCTATCAGAAGGGGGCTACCGCTGAAATGTCCAGGTGAGGGCCGGGCAGCTGTGCTGTGGGCCTGTCCCTGGGGAGGGCAGGGACCCTCGGCTGGGGCACTGGAGACTGGCAGGTGTGGGCACAGGGCCCGCTCACACTTCCCTCCTGAAGAGGTAGCACTTGGTCTTGCTCTGGGGACACACAAAAGTGCCAGGTCTCCTCATACTTTCCCTGGGCCTGGGGCTGTAGGGGCCGAGGCAGAGGTGGCAGTGACTGCATAGGGCTTGTCAGGAGCCTCTGAGCATTGGGCTTTGAGAGGGCACCCAGCCAGGGCCACAGTGTTCAGGTGGGGACAGGATGGGTGCACTGGGGCCCTGAAGCTGGCAAGCCCCATTTAGCAGGAAGGAAGCCCCATTTAGCAGGAAGCAACAGAGATGGGGAGCTGTGGGGTGCTCACCTTGGCTGCTCTGTACCCCAGTTGTCATATTTATTCTGAGGTCTGTGGAAGTGCCTGGCCTCCTCCCTCCATGGAAAGGCAGGGGCAGCTGGAGCCAGGTTGCTCAGGGATGGAAAGCCTATGGGATTCCATGTGGCTCCAGTGGGGCCTCAGCACACTCTCTAGGAGCAACCTGTGTGACCCTGGAGGCCCAGAGGGGCAGGTACTCTCCTGTGAGCAGGATTGTAAGAGTCCACAGCAGAGGGGTGGATGCCAGGGGCTCTCATTCACCTCTTCCCCATGTTAGGGGGCCTCTCACCCCTTCTCCTTTTCAGGGAGCCCCTTACTCACCCCTTCCTTGTGTTAGGAGCCTCTCCTGGCTCTCAGCTCATCTCTTCTCTGCTTTCTGTGTCCCTCTGCTTTCTGGGGTTCTCTGGTGCACCCCAGCATCCTCTCTTAGAACATCCGCTTAATGTGTTGGTATTTCCTCACCATTTTGGTTCCTCTCTATGAGAACGGCACACACCACCTGCTTCCATTCAGCCAACATGAGCCTGAACCCACAGGCATTTTTTCAGCACTTCATACTCTTTGGAAATCCAGTCCTCATGAGATTGGCATTATTTGAGAATAAATTTCGTTTTTTCATTGGTTTTTAAATTACTGTTGTTTATTCTAGATGCCCTTCACTCTACATAGTTAAGACGTTCATTTCATTGATGAATTTGTGCACATTGAGTTCATGTTCTTTCTTCATTTCTGTACAAATGTCAACTATTTTCTCTGCAAGTGTTTACTAACATACTCCTTTCCTTCGCTCTGAAATTGTGACAGAGCGATGTCTGTTTACTCTTCTCATTCTATTTCTGCGCACATTAATTTTCTTTTCTTTTTTTTTTCATTTCTAGGGTTTCTGTGATGGCTTCTGAAAAAGAGAATAAATACTCAGCACCAATATGATATTTATCATTTTAGCTGTGTCTTGTTCTGGATGAAATTATTTCTAAATGTGTTGATGTCATTCACTATTTTCACGTCACTATGGTTTCCTAATTCATTTCTGTAATCGCCTGTATTTTCTCTAATGAACTCTTTGATTGTTACTCCTCTGGGGTGGTTTTCTCTCACACACCTGATCTTCCTTAGGGCTTCTCAGGGCTGTCTCAGGAATGAGAACTGATGAGGGCATTGCTGTAGCTGCTCCTGCCCGGCAGTGTCCACTCTCCCAAGCTTAGAATCGGCTCCGTGTTGTGCGCGGCACAGCGGGGCCCTTGTGAGCCTCACACTCAGGAGTGGGAGATGCCCGGTCCAACAGTGATAAAGTGTGTCTGTGTTATGTGCACCCGGGAAAGGTGGCTCAGAGCTGAGTGTGGCCTGGCTCACTGAGCTGAGCTATTTCAGGGCCTGTCCACAAACATGGAAGAGAGGGAGCCACAGTCTCTCCATGGTGGAACAGTTTCCTAAACTTCTTTCTTTGTTCTGAGAGAGAGAAAGACAAAGCGCCACGGCCGCTCTGTGGGCTGGACAGATGTATGTTTTCACTGCAGGCTTGAATCCAAGCTGAGGTCTTGAGCATTCCCAGCTACTGATAAAGCACCTTATGTTATTTCTAGAAAACACTGAAAATTTAACCCTTTTGCTGATGATGTAGAAACAAGCCCTGCCCTGAACAAAATTCCTGAAACTCTCAGGTTAAACTTCATGACCCCAAGCCCCTCACTGCAGACACCCAATAGGCAAGCCACAGTTACAAGGATGAGATGACTCATCTTTAAAAAGGGGAAATTGAGATGGGAACTATTTGGTTGAAAGAAAACCCAAAATCCAGTGCCAAGAAAGAAGTCAACTTTCCTTCCCCTGTTTCCCTGCATTTCTGTTCTGTGCCCACGGCCACACACAGCTCTGCCTGGACTACACAGACAGATGTGAGATGCGTCTCTGCTGATCTGAGCCTGCCTGGAGCATGGACCTGCATCTTCCCTGAAGCATGTCCAGGGCTGAAGAGACAACTGCCTAAGTAAGAACCCCACACTGCTGTGCTGATGGACAGGCTGAAGGAGGGAGGGAGACCTCATGGGAGGCTGTGAGAAGGAACAGGAATCCTTAGCTTACCCTCATCTGGAAGGGCAGATACAGGAAGGCACCAGTTCTATTTGCTGCTATATCCCGGCTCTCAGTGAGATGAGGACAAAGCAGACAGACAGTGGCTGGGGGTCAGGAAAGACCCCATTAGAGTCTGAAATGTCTGCAGAGGGGTTGGACCCACCCCCACCCCTACCTCAAACCTAAAGGAATGAGAGCCAGGCTCCTGTGGAGGGCAGTTCTGCTTCCTGTGTGGCTGCAGATGACACAACCCCATGACAAGAACAACCAAGGCACCAAGTGTCCACACCGTGTGTCTCTCTGTCCTGCCAGCACCGAGGGCTCATCCATCCGCAGAGCAGGGCAGTGGGAGGAGACGCCATGACCCCCATCCTCATGGTCCTGATCTGTCTCGGTGAGATTTGAAGAGGGAGGGGAGATTCTAACCTAGGAGGGACCTCACCCCACAGCCAAACTGGTCCATAAGGAGACCCCAGGGGCTCACAAAGACCCCAGGGAGGGAAGGAGCTGCTCAGGCTTCAGGGGCAAATCTCTCACAGGGAACTCTCTTCCAGGGCTAAGTCTGGGCCCCAGGACCCACATGCAGGCAGGTGAGTCCGTCCCCAGCTGGCCCAGGTCTTCCTCCTCACTGGGGACAAGGCCCACCCCGTGCAGCTGGGGAGGGGAATAGCAGTTCTGGGCTGACTGATGGGGGTCTGGAGGGTCCTTGACTGAGAGCTGGAATCTGTTGGGTTGGGTGTAAATGACTTAGAATCTGACCTCTGATTTCCTGCCAGGGACCCTCCCCACACCCACCCTCTGGGCTGAGCCAAGCTCTGTGGTCACCCAGGGGAGTCCTGTGACCCTCAGGTGTCAGGGGGACCAGGAAGCCCAGGAGTATCATCTATATAAAGAAAAAGCATCAGCATCCTGGATTACATGGATCCCACGGGAGCTTGTGAAGAAGGGCCAGTTCCCCATCCAGTCCATCGCCTGGCAACACGCAGGGCAGTATCGCTGTCAGTATTACAGCCACTCTGGCTGGTCCAAGCCCAGTGATCCCCTGGAGCTGGTGGTGACAGGTGAGAGTCACTCAGGGGTCCCAGCCCCAGGATCTGCCCTCAGGAAGGGGCTCTGCACTCAGGGGCATCTCCCTCTCACAGCCCAGCCCTGGGATGATGTGGGAGGTGTGAGCCCCACTTAACACGGGGCCTCCTTTTCTCCTAGGAGTCTACAGGAAACCCACCCTCTCAGCCCTGCCCAGCCCTGTGGTGACCCCAGGAAGAAGCGTGACCCTCCAGTGTGGCTCAGAGTTGCCATTTCATGGCTTCATTCTGTGTAAGGAAGAAGATGAACACCCACCATGCAGCTCCCAGCCCCGTACCCCTGGGTCATCCCGGGCCATCTTCTCCGTGGGCCCCGTGAGCCCGAGTCGCAGGTGGACGTACAGGTGCTATGGTTATGACTCAAGCTTTCCCTATGTGTGGTCTTCACCCAGTGATCTCCTGGAGCTCCTGGTCCCAGGTGAGAAATTCATAGTATTGTCTGGAGATCCCTGAGTCTCCGGGCAGGTGGGGAGGAGCCGAGTCTCAGGATAGCTCCAGGTGGGACGATGTTGGGGTAAGAGGGCTCAGGGCTCCTGGGCCAGAGACACAGGGAGATCAGCAGTGGTGAGGCCCGGGGAAAGGGAGGATTTGTGAGGAGCCTGAGGGTCGGCTCCTGGAGACCATGACCACCTTTCCCAGGTGTTTCTGAGAAGCCATCACTCTCAGTGCAGCCGGGTCCTGTCGTGGCCCCTGGGGAGAGGCTGACCCTCCAGTGTGGCTCTGATGTCGGCTACGACAGGTTCACTCTGTACAAGGACTGGGGACCTGACCTCCTCCAGCGCCCTGGCCGGCAGACCCAGGCTGGGCTCTCCCAGGCCAACTTCACCCTGAGCCCTGTGAGCCGCTCCCACGGGGGCCAGTACAGATGCTCCGGTGCCCACATCCTCTCCTCCAAGTGGTCGGCCCCCAGCGACCCCCTGGATATCCTGATCTCAGGTGAGGAGCCCAGCCAGTTCAGTCAGGGACCCAGGCTCTGCAGAGGCCCTGCCAGGGAGCCCAAGTGGTGAGGGGTGGATGAGGGGTGGGTGTCCCAAGGGAGAGAGAGACAGGCAATCGGTGGGAAGGGGGAGACTCAGAAAACAGAGACAGAGACTGAGGGTCCCAGAGAGAAGCCTGGGGAGTTCTCAGCTCAGAACAAGGCAGGGCAGCCCCTCACCCATCCTTGTTCTCTCCAGGACAGATCCCTGACAGACCCTCCCTCTCAGTGCAGCCAGGCCCCAGGGTGGCTTCAGGAGAGGACGTGACCCTGCTGTGTCAGTCACAGAGTCCGATGGACACTTTCCTTCTGACCAAGGAGGGAGCAGCCCATCACCCCCAGTATCTGAAATCAAAGCACCAAGCTCATAAGGACCAGGCTGAATTCCCCATGAGTCCTGTGACCTCAGCCCACGCAGGAACCTACAGGTGCTATGGCTCACGCAGCTCCAACCCCTACCTGCTGTCTCACCCCAGTGACCCCCTGGAGCTCGTGGTCTCAGGTGAGGGCCCTGACCATGTCCTCTCTGAGCTCAAAGGCTCAGCTCAGGCCCTGCCCCCAGGAGAGCTCTGGGCTGGGATGGAGGGAGCGGGGTCTGAAGGAGGCTCAGCCAGAGCGGCCTCAGGCCTCAGAGGGAAGGAGGACAATGGGGCCCTCCCAGGCACACCCACCCTCAGCAGCATCGCCAGCATCATGAAGAGGAGAGGCGGGTAGGGGAGGGGACAGGAGGGCCACAGGGCTGATGTGGAGAAATTTGGTTTGAGGTGGAGGCTTCAGGCAAGGCCCAGCTCCTCCATCTCCTCCCATTCCTTACCCAGGACCCTCCAGTGGACCCAGCCCTCCACCCACCGGTCCCACCCCCACACCTGGTGAGTAACTAAGGCCTCTCAGCTGGGCAGTCCCGGGTCTCCCAGAGGATCCTGTTCCACTCAAGGACTCAGCACAGACTTCCCTCCAGAGGGCTGGGCAGAGACAGACAGGGGCACAGGCTCCCAGGGCTCTGAGGCTGGTGAGGGGCAGGAGGTCGAGGCAGTGGGAGATGATGGGGCCCAGCCTGAGGGAGGAGCAGCCGGACTGACATGGGGAGCAGGTCAGCCCCAATCCTCATGTCCCCATCCTGACCCAGCAGTCCCTGAGGACCAGCTTTTCACTCCCATGGAGCCAGATCCCCACAGTGGTTAGTCGGGGTCTCTGAGCGGGAGGTGGGTGGGGTCCAGGGGAGGCAGGGCTCAGTTCAGGCCCCTCCCCTGCCTAGGCCTCAGTTTCTCCAAGTGTAAAGGAGAGAGGCCTGCAGGGTGGGAAAGTTCCTTTTAGCTCTGACTCCCAGCTGTGACCTCCTGAGAGAGGAGGCCACCTAGGGAAGCCTCCCAGGCCTGATTCCTCAGGAGCCTGTCCTGTCCCAACTGCAGCAGTGACAGTGACGGTGACCTGGGGCAGAGGAGGGGAGCAGGGCTTTGGTTCAGTAGGTCACGCTCTTTCCCTGCAGCTCCAGGGCTCAGCTCAGGTGCAGGGAACAAGGGCTGTCCTCCTTCCCTGGCTCTCAGCAGATCAAACTCCCAGGTTCCCTTCCCAGCTCTGCTGCTGCCTAGCTGGGGGGCCTGGGGCAGGCGACTCCCCTCTCTGAGCCTCAGTTTTTTGTCTGTAAAGTGGGTGGGGTGGATGTGTCAATTCCGCGCTGCTCGACTGTAGTGGGGGTTGAAGGTGGTGAATAAGAGGCCGAGCAGTCACCTGCACACAGTAGGCGCTCAATCAGTAACACCACCCCATTCCTGACGTCCTCATGCTCAAGGTCTGGGAAGGAACCTGGGGGTTGTGACCGGGGTCTCAGTGACCTTCATCCTGCTGCTCTTCCTCCTCCTCCTCCTCTTCCTCGTCCTCCGACATCAGCGTCAGGGCAAACACTGGACATCAGGTGAGTATAGAAGGGGGGACCCCGTGGGCCAACCAAGGGTGGGCTCAGGGCACCAGCCAGAGGGAATCCAAACTGCTGGGAAAACGCAGCTTTGAGAAACTGTTCTAGCACTTCTCACCAGGCAAATGGAGAAAGCACTTAGTGTCAGTCCCCACATACAAATGTAAAGCGTCCTTTGGGCTCTCTCCATCTTTTGAGACGTTTGGAGCATGGAAGCAAGAGTGTGTCCAGGTTTCCTTCCTTACCTTCGAGCTGCGTTTGCAGGGCAGATGGTTCCAATGTTCCCAAGGCTGAGACTCTGTCCTTCTTCACACAGCCCAGAGAGAGGCTGATTTCCAACATCCTGCAGGGGCTGTGAAGCCAGAACCCACAGGCGGAGGCCTGCAGAGGAGGTAATTCTGCCTGAAGACCCCAGACTCCCACTCACCCCAGCCCACACACTGCTCCTACAGCTCCTGTGTCCTCCCCCAGATCCAGCCCAGCTGCCGACACCCAAGAAGAAACTCTCTGTGAGTGACAGGAAGAGGTGACCCCAGCCAGGAGGGAGATGGGGACCCACAGTTTCCATCGCAATGAGGAAAGGGCAGAGGCTGGAAGGGGTCTGGGGCTCAGGGTGTGGGACCTTGGGACATCACAACCCCTCCCTGGATCTCAGCTGCCCCATCTGGGAGCTGGGCAGGGGCTGGCGGGGCTGAGACATCCCAGGGAAACTTCCCAGGAGACAATCCCCTTGCTCTGCCCAGCAGATGCTGCCGTGAAGGACACACAGCCTGAGGACGAGGTGGAGCTGGACACTCAGGTGAGACCCCGCCCCTGTCCTGGGCACCAAAGGCCTCCTGGTGCCGGATCTAATCCAGCAGGACTTCTCTGTCCTCCTTCCCCGGCTCTCAGCACCATCCAGGGTGGACCCTCCATGTCCAGCACGCTGCCTCCCGCCTGCTGTGACCTCACTCTCTCCTGGTGTCCTGGGACATCGTGGGCCTACTCCTGGGTCCCCTTCCTGCTCCTCGTCCTCTGTTTGGCCGTCTGGTTGTTAGAGGGATCCCCAGGCCTCAGGAGGATGAGGAATGAACCACACTGGTGCCCTGGGCTTCCCTTCATTCATTCACCCAGCGAGTGTTCCCAGGAGCTCCCTGTGGATGGGGCTCCCCGTGGGAGCTGCAGACACAGCAGGGAGCAAAGCCGCCCCTGCCCTCCTGAGCTCACCTCGTGGTGGGAGACAAAATGCAAATAAACACAGTGTCCAGGAGTGCGACGTGCTGTAAGGAAAATGAACCAGGGAAAGGGCAGAGAGTGCAGGGCAGTGGGGCCAGTCTGAATGGTAAGGCGAGGGCTGTCTGGTCAGCTGTCATCTGAGAAGCCTGGACGGAGAGGGCCACACCATCCTCTAATGGACGAGCCCCTGCAGGTAGAGGAAACAGCAGTGCAAGGCCCCGAGGCCGCAGTGAGCTCTTGTGGGAAGGTGGGCGTGAGGCTGCAGCCAAATGGGCAAGGTCAGAGTGAGGAGGAGAGGCCAGAACCGCAGGAAGGGAGTAGCCAGACCCTCCACAGCCTTAGGGCGCCCTGAGATTCCATCAGGAAAGGGATGTAATGGGATCACTCAGGGAACAGTGGGAAAACTGACTCGAGGAGGTCAGGGGGACTCAAGGACACCTCCCACCACTGTCTGTCTCGAGCAGAGCCAATATGATGAAGACCCCCAGGCAAAGACCTATGCTGAGGTGAAACATTCCAGACCTAAGAGAGAAATGGCCTCCCCTGCTTCCCCACTGTCCAGGAAATTCCTGGACACATAGCACAAACAGGCAGAAGAGGACAGGCAGATGGACAGTCAGGTAGATACTTTCCTCTCCAGGCCCCCAGGCCTCACCCACCTTCCAGCATGTTCCTTCCCTCTCACTCTCCGCCCCCACTGCAGGCTGCTGCATCTGAAACCCCCCAGGAAGTGACCTACGCCCAGCTGGACACCTTGACCCTCAGTCGGAAGGCAACTGAGCCCCCTTCATTCCAGGAAGGGGCCCCTCCAGCTGAGCCCAGTGTCTACTCCACTCTGGCCATCCGCTAGCCTACGAAGGACCCAGACCCCACACAACGAAAGGAGACTCAGGGACTCCAGAAGGCACGTAAGCTGCCCCCAGTGGACACCAATGAACCCCAGCCAGCCTGGACCCCTAACACAGACCACCAGGACATTCTGGAGATGTTGGGACTCACTTGATTTCTGCAGTCTAAATAACTAATATCTCTACATTTTTTAGTTAAAGCAACAGACTTCTCAATAATTAATGAGTTAATTGAGAAAACTAAAACAGAAGTCAGAATGTGCTTTAAACTTGTCACAATATAAATATTACACACGAAATGAAATTGGAAGACTAAAAACCACAACCGAATAAAGTAGAAGAGAAAAAAACCTAGGAAATGAATGATCTTGGCTTTCAAATCAGGAATTTAGAAGAAGAATAAATTATTCCAAATGAAGGTGTAAGGAAGGGAATAATAACAACAGGAGTTTCGGGCCGGGCGCGGTGGCTCAAGCCTGTAATCCCAGCACTTTGGGAGGCCGAGGCTGGTGGATCACGAGGTCAAGAGATCGAGACCATCCTGGTCAACGTGGTGAAACCCCGTCTCTACTAAAAATACAAAAAATTAGCTGGACATGGTGGCGCGTGCCTGTAATCCCAGCTACTCAGGAGGCTGAGGCAGGAGAATTGCCTGAACCCAGGAGACGGAGGTTGCAGTGAGCCGAGATCATGCCATTGCACTCCAGCCTGGGTAACAAGAGCGAAACTCCGTCTCAAAAAAATAAATAAACAAAATAAGAGGAGTTTCTCATTAGGAAAAAACAAAACTTGAAAATTCAACAAAGGCAGTGAAGCTCATTGTTGAAAACATTAATTACACTCATGAATCCTAGCTACAATGAGCAAGCAAAAGGAAGAGCAGACAGCCCTACAGATCCTACACACATTTTCAAAAACTAACAACAGAACGGGCTGCAGGTCGGGCACGGTTGTTCACGCCTATAATGCCAGCACTTTGGGAGGCCAAGGTGGGTAGATCATGAGGTCAGGAGTTCAAGACCACTCTGGCCAAGATGGTGAGACCCTGTCTCTACCAAAAATACAGAAATTAACCGGACGCAGTTGCAGGCACTTGTAATCCCAGCTACTCAGGAGGCCGAGGCAGGAGAATCGCTTGAACCTGGGAGGCAAAAGTTGCAGGGAGCCAAGAGCCAAGATTGCGCCATTGCACTGTAGCCTGGGTGACAGAGTGAGACTCCGTCTCAAAACAAAACCACACGGGCTGCAGGCCTATGCCAATATGCCAATCTACTAGAAAATGCAGATTACACAGACAAAATATTCAAAACTGTAGATTACTTACTGAATGTAAGAGTAAACAGAGAATCTGAATCATTTTAGTTGTGTGTTTTTCACATATATACACACACACACACACACACGTTAATAAAATGTTCTCATGGTATAAGCTCCAGTTCTCAGGGACTCTGGAAGGCACAGGAGCTCTCTCCAGCAGAGTCCACACGATTCAGACCCTAGGCAGTGACCTATGCTGAGGTGAAACACTCCAGACCTAGGAGAGAAATGGTGGAAGCTCACTGGTGTTTTTGTTTTGTTTTGGTGATTTCTTATAAATATTATTTAGGGAAGCTTCATCAGTGATTTCTTATAAATATTGACACACGAATGAAACACACAGACATACTCAGAGCATCACAAATGTTTCTTGAGAATAGAAAAGGAGGCAATGTGCAGTTGCTCACGTCTGTAATCCCCACATTTTGGGAGGCAGAGGCGGCAGATTACTGGAGGCCAGGAGTTCAAGACCAGCCTGGCCAAGATGGCAACCCGTCTCTACTAAAAATACAAAAATTAGGCAGACGTGGTGGTGCACGCTGCAATCCCAGCTACTTGGGAGGCAGAGGCAGGAGAATCACTTGCACCCAGGAGATGGAGGTTGCAGTGAGCTGAGATTGTGCTCTGCACTGCAGCCTGGGTAACACAGACAAACTCTGTCTCAAAAAATTTTCAAAAAAAGAAGTCATCACATATAAAATTGAATTTTCCATCATATAAAAGGTATGTTTTAAAATATACAGTTTGTTTCAAAATAATATTTTTATTTTAATGTTTTACTTTATTTGGCAATAAAAAATTCTACATGTTCAGGGTGTACAACATGATATTTTAATACCTGAGTACCCTGTGCAGTCCCTAGGTCAAGCTAATTAACTTATCTGTAACGTCACATAGTTATCTTTTTGTTAAGAGAACATTTAAAATCTACTTTCCCACCAGTTTTCACATACACAATCCATTGTTAGTAACTGTAATCACCGCATTGCAACAAAGATTGCTGAACTCGCTCCTATGTAACTGAAATGTGGTCTCCTCCAATACAGCTCTCTGATTCCACCCAGCCCAGCTCCCGGGAACCGCCTTCCACACCACTTCCATGAGTTGTCCTGGTGCATTCCACACATAAGTGACATCATGCAGTAGGTGACTTCCTATGCCTTCTTTATTCCACCTAGCGTGATGTCCCCTAGGCTCAACCACGTTGTCACAAATGAAACAATTTCCTTCTTCTAGAAGGCTGAATTGTTTTTTGCTGTGTATATACTGGGCACTTCATTTTCTGTATCCATTCACCTGCTGAGGGACACTTGGGTGGGTTCCATGTCTTGGTTATTGTGGCTGATGCTATAGTGAGCATGGGAGTGTGGGCATCTCTTTGACGTTCTGATTTCAATTCCTTAAGGTACACATCCAGCAGTGACGTTGTTGAAACATACAGCAGTTCTAATCATTAACTTCTGAAAAACATCTAGCATTTTTGTGATCATTGTACTCACTTACATTACCACTAGCAGAGTGCAATGGTTCTATTTTTTCCACATTCTCATCAACACTTCTTATTCTACTCTTTTTTTCTTCTTCTTTTTTTGAGATGGTGTCTCGCTCCACCACCCAGGCTGGAGTGCAGTGGTATGATCTCATCTCACTGCAACCTCTGCCTCCTGGGTTCAAGCAATTCTCCTGTCTCAGCCTCCTGAGTAGCTGGGACTACAGGTGCCTGCCACCACATCCAGCTAATTTTTTGGTATTTTTAGTAGAGACAGGGTTTCACCTTGTTGGTCAGGCTAGTCTCAAACTCCTGACCTCAGGAGATCCACCCGCTTCAGCCTCCCAAAGTGCTGGGATTACAGGCATGAACCACGTGCCCAGACTACTCTTTTTCATAGTAACCATCCTAACAGATGTCAGGTTATAGCTTATCGAAGTTTATATGTATGTATGTATGTATGTATGTATACACGTATATGTGTACATCCAAATGTATGCATACATACATATGCATCCAACTGTATATATACATACATATGTATATATGTACATGTATGCGTGTGTGTATATGTATACATATGTATACACATATATGTGTAAAAGTAAAATTTTGCAGTGAAATATCACCTCACAGCTGTTAGACTGGCTAGTTTCAAAATGATGAAAGGTAAGTGTTGGTGAGGATGGGGAGAAAAGAAAATCCTTGCACACCATTGGTGGACATGTAAGTTAATACAGCCATTTTGGAAAACAGTATGGAAGCTCCTCGAAAAACTAAAAGTGCGACCACCATATAATCCAGAAGTCTCACTTTGTATATACCCAGAAGAAATAAAATCGGCACACAGAAGAGATGTCCACACTCCTAAGTTCATGCAGCACTATTCACGATGACTAAGTTATAAAAATGATTCTATATTTTTGAAAAAGGATTCATTTCTTCTCTCCCTGTAGAGAAAACAGTACACATTAGCTGAACTCTGAGTACTCACCCATGTGTGCGTGTGTGTGTGTGTTTCAGTAAGTGGTTTTCCCATTCTGAGTACTCACCCATGTATGTATCTAGAAGGGTGCATGTGCACGTGTGTGTGTGTGTGTTTCAGTAAGTGGTTTTCCCAATCTGAGTACTCATCCATGTATGTAACTCTGAGGATGCATGTGCACATGTGTGTGTTTCAGTATGTGGTTTTCCCATTTTTCCTCCCTCAAGAATGCCACATTATACATTTTGGATTCTTTGCTCTTCCAACTAAATTACATCATTTAGAATTGCTTTCACTGAGTGTGACAACAGTAAAATATTTTTTTAATTGTGACTTTGGAAATACCTTCCTTTCCCTTTCACTCTCTATCAAGTTTGTGAAAAAAATTAATTTTTATTTGTATTTTAAGTTCTGGGGTACATGTGCAGGATCTGCAGGTTTGTTACACAAGTAAACATGTGCCATGGTGGTTTGCTACATGTATCAGTCCATCACCTACGTATTAAGCCCAGCATGCATTAGCTGTTTATCCTAATGCTTTCCCCTTCCTGCCCTGCCCTCCTCCAATGGGCCTCAGTGTGTGTAGTTCCCCTCCCTGTGTCCATAGGATCTCATTGTTCAGCTCCCACCTATAAGTAAGAACATGGAGTGTCTGGTTTTCTGTTCCTATGTTGGTTTGCTGAGGATAATGGCTCCCAACTCCATCCATGGCCTGGCCAAAGGTGTGATCTTGTTTCTTTTTATGGCTGCATAGTATTCCATGGTGTATATGTACATTTTCTTTAACCAGTCTGTCATTGATGAGCATTTGCACTGATTCCATGTCTGCTATTATGAATAGTGCTGCAATAAACATGTCATGTATCTGTAATAAAATTTTTATTCCTTTGAGCATATACCCAGGTTATTGCTCTGTCAAATGGTATTTCTGCTTTAGATCTTTGAGGCATCACCACAGAATCTTTCACAATGGTTGAACTAATTTACATGCCCACCAACAGTGTAAATGCATTGCTATTTCTCTGCAACCTCACCAGCCTGTTTTTTCCTGGCTTTTTAATAATCGCCATTCTGACTGGTATGACTTGGTATCCCATTGTGGTTTTGACTTGCATTTCTCTAATGACCGGTGATGTTGAGCTTTTTTTCATGTTTCTGGGCTGCATGAATGTCTTCTTTTGAGATGTATGTTTATGTCCCTTGCCCACTTATTAATGAGGTTGTTTTATTCTTGTAACTTTGTTAAGTTCCTTGTAGATTCTGGATGTCAGACCTTTGTCAGATGGACACATTGCAAAAATGTTCTCCCATACTGTAGGTTGTGTTTGCTCTGACGATGGCTTCTTTTGCTCTTCAGTTTAATTTGATCCCATTCGTCAATTTTAGTTTTTGTTGCAATTGCTTTTGGTGATGTGGTCATGAAATCTCTGCCTGTGTCTACGTCCTGAATTACATTAAATAAAGCATAATGAAACATACGTAGAAGGGAAAGTACATGTAACGGTGAAAGCATCTACTGAAACCTGACACAGTGGATTTAATGTGAGACAAAATAATTTGCACTTTTGTGAAGAAATAATTTGAGGATTTGTTTACAGGCCACATCTCTTTGTATGTTTTAACGACTTGAAAATTACATAATACAAAAATAACATTTAAAACCCACAATTCAGGCCGGACACAGTGGCTCATGCCTGTAATCTCAGCACTTTGGGAAGCCGAGGCAGGCAGATCACTTGAGGTCAGGAGTTTGAGACCAGCCTGATCAACATGGCGAAACCGTCTCTACTAAAAATACAAAAATTAGCTGGGCGTGGTGTCACACACCTATAATCCCAGATGCTTGGGAGGCTGAGACAGGAGAATTGCTTGAACCCAGGAGGCAGGGGTTGCAGTGAGTGAAGATCAGGCCATTGCACTCTAGCCTGGGTGACACAGTGAGAGTCTGTCAAAAATAAAAAATACAAAACCCACAATTCAGCCTAGAATTAGTTTATTAAACTTACATTTGATATTTTTGCTTAGGATTGGTTTGGCATTCATGCTGTTTTGGTTCCGTATGAATTTTAGGATTTTTTTTTAATTCTATGAAAAATGATGTTGCCATTTTGATGGGGATTGCATTGAATCTGAAGATTACTTTGGGCAGTATGATCATTTTCATAATATTGATTCTTGGAATGCATGAGCACTGGATATGTTTCTATTTGTTTGTGTCATCTACAGTTTCTTTCAGCAGTGTTTTGTTTTTCTTCTTGTAAAGATCTTTCACCTCCTTGCTGAGGTATATTCTCAGGTATTTTTAATTTTTTGCAACTGTTGTACACGGGATTGAGTTTTCCAGCAACTTAAATGGAACTGCAGGTGTCACTATTCATGACACCACACCCAGCTAATTTTTTTACAGATGACGTTTTGTCATGTTGCCCAGGCTGGTCTTGAACCCCTGGCCTCAAGTGACCCGCCTGCCTTGACGTCTCGAAGTGCTGGAAAGTGCAGGTGTGAGCCACAGCACCCGGCCAATCATAGCACTTTTGATCATTAGGATGATTCCTCCTTCTTGTCATTCTTAGACACTCGCCCCCAACAGGCCTTATTTGTCAGGCAGGATTTCTACCAGGGCTGTGCTGGGAGTTACAGCTTGAAAAGGGGAGATGGTTCCACCTGCCAGTGTCACATGAGTCCGCTCAGGGCTTTGCTTAGCAAGGGAGGGTCCAATGTGAGCCTCAGACTCACATGTGGGACAGACACTGATGTCTGATAATGCTGCAGTGAATCTGTTTCACACACACATGGAGAAGGCAGCTCAGGTCTGACCATAGACCTGAGTCAAAAGTAGAGGTATTCCAGTGCCATCCACAAACACAGAGGAGGAGAAGCCACCGCTTCTGTCCTTCATTTGAAATCCTGACACTTTCCTGTCTGTGGGGTCCCTGGGCCTGGGGCTCTCTTCTATCTCACACAGAGATCAAAACTTCCCCCTTAGTCACCCCTTGACATTGCAAGTCACCAGCAGCCACTCAGCTCTGGCCTCTGCTGCTTCTTAAGGTTTCCGGCCTGTGTCAGGAAGTTTCATTTCTCATTTCTTCATAGGACCATGGCTACATATTTCAGAAACTTTGTTAAGTAGCTTTTCTCAGTGTTTGGAGCAGATGTGGGCTGTTGCGCACATAAGTTGTTCACCACAACTGTGCAGTCCAACAGCAGGATCAACTCATGTTTCAACCCCTCAGGTCTTAACCTGGTCTGGAAAAGTACCACAACTGAGGTCCTCCCATGACCCAGGCACAACTGGCCCCCAAAACCACTCAGGAGGGGGTTTATGACAACAGGCCGCAAATGAGGAAACTGAAGCTCAGAGTTGGGACTTACTGCCCAAGGTCATGCAGGCAGGGACCAAGGTCAGCAATTCAGAAAATAAAACGGATTCCCTATCCCACCACAAAATCGAAGCTCAAGACTAAGTACCTGTTCCCAAACCCTTTAATCCAGACTGAGATGCAGGAGAATGCCCAAGGAAACAGTGTTAGGGATAGGGCGGACATTGATAAGGCAGGAATGATTCAGAGGTTACTTTTAAGGGAGGTGGAGGTGAACGCTATTAAAAAATGGCGGAGGAGGGAAGTATAAAAAAAAGAAACTGAAAGAAACAAAACCCATGCTCCAAAGATAAAAAGAAGAGTGAGCATTTCTTTATTTCTCCTTTTTTCTCATTGCCACCTGCAGCCCAACTTGAATTTCACAGCCAGATGTGAGATACGTGTCTCTGCTTATCCAACTCTGCCCTGCAGCATGGACCTGCAACTTCCCAGAAGCATCTCCAGGGCTGGAGAGATGACTGCCTTGGTAAGGATCCCGCAATGCTGCTTTGATGGACAGCCTAAAGGAGAGAGGAACCCATGGGGAGGTTCTGAGAAGAACAAGCACCTAGTAACCCTTACTTAGACAGGACAAATTCAGAAAGGTGCTGGGTCTATTGGCTCCTGTGTCTTGACCCTTTATGAGATGAGAACAGATGAAGCAAACAGCAGAAAAAAATCAGGGAGACACCATTTCTGTCTGAATTGTATGAAAAGAGCCTGGTGGCTTCCCCCAGCCTCATCTAAAAGGAAATGAAAGCCAGGCTCCCAGAGACGGCATTTCCCCTCCCTGTGGGGCTGCTGATGGGCCAACCTCAAGATGAAGAATCCAGGCTCCCAGTAGATTTACTCCACCCAGGCACTGTAGCCGCATCCATCTGCACAGCCAGGGGCTGTGGGAGGCGATGCTGATTCCCACACTCAAAACCCTGATTTGTCTTGGTAAAATTCAAAGAGGACGAGGGGAGACTATAGCCTGGGAGGAATCGCACCTCACAACTTGGTCCGGATCTATTAGGAGACCCCAGAGTTTCACAGAGATCCCAAGGTGGGGAGGCTCTGCCCAGGGTTCAGAAGGCAAATCTCTCACAGGAAACTCTATGACTCCCTCCCTAATGCTGCACCTGTGCCTCAGTGGGATTTGGAGAAGATACCTTAGATTAGAGGGTATTGTGTCTTTCACCAACAAAACCATACAAAAAAAACCTGGACATATCACATTAGTGGATAAAGCATATCGTGTGCCAAATCAGGACCTACCTACAGTGAATTTCAGGGCTCACACTATAGTTACTCACCTTTGGGGAAAAGCATTCCAGGTTTGTGTCTATCTGTGATAAACGTCTCCCTTCCTGGGTACAGATAATGGATTACAGTAACACTAGCTGAACAGAACCATATTCACCTGATGATCATACTGAAAAATAGCCATAAAATTGTTCCCTCAGACAGAGCCACCAGGGTTAGGGGGAAGGACCGCAAACTGGAGCCATTAAAGACCCTTAAGAGCCAAAAAAAAAAAAAAAATTGTTCCCTCAAACTCCAATTCCCCTTTTGACTTTTGACAGTTCTCAAGTTATACAAATGACCAACACATGAAAAACATGTGTGTGTGAACGTTTGTGTGTGTGTATACACACACACACACACACACACACACCATGGAATACTTCAGCCATAAAGAACAAAATAATGGCATTCGCAGCAACCCAGAGGCAGTTGGCAACCATTATTCTAAGTTAAATAACTCAGGAATGGACAACAAAACATTGTATGTTCTCCTAAGTGGAAGCTAAGCCAGGAGGATGCAAAGGCATGAGAATCATGGAATGCATACTGGTTGGATCCGGACTCCCAAGTAAAATGATGGGAGGTGCTATCGGGTGTGTCGCAAGCCATAGTTCCAAACACCACAGAGGTGGTGAGGAGGAAGCAGCCCTGGAGGGTCCTGATCAAGTTCCCAAACAAGCAACAGGAGAGGTCTTCAGGTCCCAAGGCTTGGGGTGAGGGTAGGGCACAGATCCTCACTGCTTTTCTGTCCTGGATCTGCACTCCCAAAGCTGCCCCCACTCCCAACCCACCACAGCCTCTGCCTTCACTGGGGTCTGTCTCACCAGTCTCTGCAGGGAGGCCACCTTCCCCTGCCGAGGCCGGTGGATCATGAGGTCAAGAGATCCAGACTATCTTGGTCAACAAGGTGAAACCCCGTCTCTACTAAAAATACAAAAATTAGCTGGGCATGGTGGTGTGCGCCTGGAGTCCCAGCTACTCAGGAGGCTGAGGCAGAACTGCCTGAACCCAGGAGGCGGAGGTTGTGGTGAGCAGAGATCGTGCCATTGCACTCCAGCCTGGGTAAGAACAGCAAAACTGCATCTCAAAAAATAAAAATAAAAATAAATTAACCACATTAACAACAACAACGGCAAAAATCCAATTCCACTTAGCGTAATGTTTTCACGGTCTATGCATGTTATAGCATGTAACTGGTCTTTGTTCCTTTATATGACTGAATGATATTCCATTCTACGGATATATCACATTTTCTTTATACATTCACCAGTTGATGGACATCTGGATTGTTTTCACTCTTTATTATGAATAATGACACAAAAGAACATATGTTTGGGGTTTTTACTTTTAAGAAGTTATAATCTTTTATTTTCTGAGACAGAGTCTCACTCTGTCGCCTAGGCTAGAGTGCAGAGGTGCAATTTCAGCTTACTGCAACCTCTGTTTCCTGGATTCAAGCAATTCTCATGCCTCAGCCTCTCAGGTAGCTGGGATTAGAGGTGTGCACCACCACACCTTGCTATTTTTTTTTTTTTTTTGTATTTTAGTAGAGACAAAGTTTCACCACATTAGCCAGGGTGGTCTTGAACTCCTGGCTTCAAGCCTTCCACCTGCCTCAGCCTCCCAAAGTGCTTGGATGATAGACATGAGCCACCGCCCTGTGCCAAAAGATTATAATCATTTAAATTCTGGTTGCAACCATATGTTTACAATTCTCCACACTTAGATTTAAAAACACTGTATTTATAATCAATTAGAACATAATTAATGCATCTTAAGTTTCCGCTGATGTATATAGAAGGCTAAAGGTACAATTTTTATTCATATCTAGTAGAGTAACCAACCATAAAATCATTAGTTACTTTCAGGTTAATAACTGACATTCCTCAAATGAGCTGTTTTCAATCCTCATAATTCTTTCTTTTCTTAAGAAAATTTTTTATTTACTTTTAGGAAATATAAATAACAAAATTGGCAAAAACCAAACCAAAACACATGACGTTGTATGAGTGATCATCTCTAAGTACATTTATAAGTGAATATAAAAAATAAGTTTTATTATCTTTATTTGCTTTTCTGTTAGAAGCTTGAGTTCCTAAGATAATTTCACAGCTACATTGGCTCCTATAATATGACTGAGTGAGGTTAAGGTCCCACTTCCATTAGGGAAATCTCCTTGGGGATTCTGAAAAAAACAACTAAGCCCTTAGAAACTTTAAAAAAATGGGTGCTTTCATTAGGATCTTTCTAACATGGACAAAATACAGCCATTGTACATTAAAATTTGGATACTCTTCAGATTTCTAAATTCTCCACCTGATTAAGACTAGGCCACCATCTTTTCTGTCAACCCAACCTACAGCCACTGCCATCTTCCTAAGTAGCAGTCCCCCAAACTGCACTAAAACTGGGATTAACAAAACCAACGATAACACGTTTTTGACCTTTCTTCCTAGAAGTCAAAGGGCTCTTTGGATAGGAAAGGTCAGGAGGTTTTGCATCCAGCTTGCCTTCACACTCACGATTAGTGGAAGGGCTGTGAAATCTACCCATCGCACACCTGTGTTCAGTGTTTGAGTGTACTCACCCATCACCACTCAAGGAAATAGAGTAAATTAACAAGTTACTCTGGACCAAGCCCCTCAAAACAGAGGCAAATTTGGTGAACCAAGGTCATTCACTGCCGGTGGCAAGAACCTCAGTTCACTTAAGTCCTTTCCTGAAAAACCACATTAATCTCCTGATTCAAGAGGCACCTCTGGCCAGCACAGAGCAAGAAGGAAAGCATAACTTCAGGGTGGGGAAATGCACACGGAATTTAGAAGTTGCGGTTTAGTCTACGGCAAAAGATGGCAGCATCGCTAATATTCAGAGCTGGAAAGAGCGTTGGCTGGACCACATTCCTGGAGCATCTTTACTAATGCAGCTTAACAGCAGTTGCCCAGATGTCGTTGCTGGGGAGCAGGGCAAGGACCCATCCTTGGGGAACGAAGCTGCCTCTGGGATGATCGGGTGGCACCAGGCACTGATCCCAATCATGCTGATCTAGATGAGCGCCGACGGGGACTGCTCGGCTTGGAGGTAACACAGTCAGAAAGGCTCCAAGAGGTGAGCACGCGGGAGCTCGTCTGGATCCCCAAACAACTTGGACTCCCATTTCACGTTTCTGAAGTAAAATTTTCTTTTTCCTTTCTTTCTTTTTGAATTCTCTTTTCCTCTCTTCCTCTTGTTCTCCTTCCAGCATAACTCTGAGGGCTCTCTTTAGCTTCATCGAGTTCACAGTGCTTTTTCATGAGTTTTCTCAGTCGCTGAAGATGATGCTCAAAAGTCTCATCTGCTGAGGCTGGAGGACAGACCGCTTTCCTCACTGCAGCCTCCTTCTTCCATTTCCTCAACTTCTCCAAAGCCCGAACAATGTCCACCATTCTTTTGGTATCACTTTCTTTTTTTCTTTTGAGACGGAGTTTCGCTCTTGTTACCCAGGCTGGAGTGCAATGGCGCGATCTCGGCTCACCGCAACCTCCGCCTCCTGGGTTCAGGCAATTCTCCTGCCTCAGCCTCCCGAGTAGCTGGGATTACAGGCACGCACCACCATGCCCAGCTGATTTTTTGTATTTTTAGTAGAGACGGGGTTTCACCATGTTGACCAGGACGGTCTCCATCTCTTGACCTCATGATCCACCCGCCTCGGCCCCCCAAAGTGCTGGGATGACAGGCACGCGCCACCATGCCCAGGTCATTTTTGTATTTTTAGTAGAGACGGGGTTTCACGTTGTTGACCAGGATGGTCTCGATCTCTTGACCTCGTGATCCGCCCGCCTCGGCCTCCCACAGTGCTGGTATCGCTTGTTTTTTCCCCACTACAGACAGTACGCCATCAGCGGCTGCTTGGACTTCCTGCTCTCGCCTCTTCTCCTCCACCTCCTGCACACACTTGACCGTCCAGCGGTCAATCTCCTGCTCGTGTTCCACGGCCCACGTGGCCTCTGCCTCCCGCTCGGCTTCACGTTCCCGAGTCCTCTCCAGCCTCTTCTGCGACTCCCCCTCTCGCCCCGTCCCCAGGCAGCCTGGGTCAACGGCTGTAGCCGCTCGGCCAGTTCCTTAGGCCTTCGGCTTCGGCCTCGCGCAGGGCCTGGATCAGGCCGTGAAGCCGCCGCACCAGGCACAAAAACCCGCGCAATGGCGCGCGCACTTCGCCAAGGCTGGGCCCGGCGCGCGCGCGCTTGGTCACCGGACAGCCCGCCCCTAGCGGCGTGGAAGTCGCGCAGGCGCTAGAAGGCCGCATCCCTGAGCAAGTAGGCGGGCCGCGGCGCATCAGACCAACGCTGGCTTCAAGGCGTCGCCAAGCCGCTCGCCGGCGTCGGTCCAGGGGAAGGGCCGGCACTGGGACAGCTGCGGAGGCGGTGGCACCGGGTAGAAGGTGCCAGCGCCGCCACCGCCGCCGCAGGAGATTTCCGCGGAGGCTCGGAGCTGCAGAACCAGCGGAGGCTGAAGGAAGGGGGCAGAGGCTCCCGGAAAAAGGCCGGGCTGCTGGGGGAGACGCGGCGGGAAAGCGGGGGAGAGCAGCGGCGGTGGCCTACAGCCGAAAGGTGTGGGAAGCGGCGGCTGCGGGAGCTGCGGAGGCTGCCGGCTTGGGCGGGCCTGGCCGAAGAAGGGCGAAAACGCCATGTGCACGAGGGAGAAGCCGTGGGAAGTGACAGGAATCTGAGCGATTCCTCTGGAGAATCTTCCGGCGGAAGTGACGTCATACAGCGAGACAGAGACACAGATCTTCTCTTCTTGGAACTTCCTGTCTAGTATAACACAGTAATCAAGTAATCATGGTGAGTATCTTCGAGAGATTGGAAAAGGTTATCCTAAGGAACTGCGGCTGCAGCTGAGATAATTCCACGTGGCTGGGGAGGCCTCACAATCATAGCAGAATGCAAAGCGTATAACTTGCAGTGAACGACGAGAGAGCAATCCTGCTAATTCTTTTTTTAAAAATTTTTTAAATACGTATTTTATTGCATTTTAGGTTTTGGGTTACATGTGAAGAACATGAAGGATTGTTGCATAGGTACATACATGGCAATGTGGTTTGCTGCCTTCCTCCCCACCACCTATATCTGGCATTTCTCCCCATGTTATCCCTCACCAACTCCCCACACCCCACTGTTTCTCCATTAATTACCCCCCACAGACCTCAATGTGTGATGCTCCCCTCCCTGTGTCCATGTGTTCTTGTTGTTCAACACCCACCTATGAGTGAGAACATGCGGTGTTTGATTTTCTGTTCTGGTGTCAGTTTTCTGAGAATGATGGTTTCCAGGTTCATCCATGTCCCTACAAAGGACACGAACTCATCGTTTTTATGGCTGCATAGTATTTCATGGTGTGTATGTGCCACAGTTTCCCTGTCCGGTCTATCATCGATGGGCATTTGGGTTGGTTCCAAGTCTTTGCTATTGTGAACAGTGCTGCAATGAACATTCGTGTGCATATGTCCTTATAATAGAATGATTTATAATCCTTTGGATATATACCTAGTATTGAGATTGCTGGGTCAAATAGAATTTCTATTCCTAGATCCTTGAGGAATTGCCACGCTGTCTTCCACAATGGTTGAACTAATTTACACTCCCACCAGCAGTGTAAAAGTGTTCCTATTTCTCCACGTCCTCTCCAGGATTTGTTGTCTCCAGATTTTTTAATGATTGCCATTCTAACTGGCATGAGATGGTATCTCAATGTAGTTTTGATTTGCATTTCTCTAATGACCAGTGATGATGAGCATTTTTTCATATGTTTGTTGGCCTCATATGTGTCTTCTTTTGTAAAGTGTCTGTTCATATCCTTCACCCACTTTTGAATGGGCTTGTTTGGTTTTTTTTTTTCTTGTAAATCTGTATTAGTTCTTTGTAGATTCTGGATATTAGCCCTTTGTCAGATGAGTAGATTGCAAAAATCTTTTCCCATTCTGTTGGTTGCCGATTCACTCTAATGATTGTTTCTTTTGCTGTGCAGAAGCTCTGGAATTTAATTAGGTCCCATTTGTCTATTTTGCTTTTGTTGCCAATGCTTTTGGTGTTTCAGTCATGAAGTCCTTGCCTATGCCTGTGTCCTGAATGGTTTTGCCTAGATTTTCTTCTAGGATTTTTATGGTGTTAGGTCTTATGTTTAAGTCTTTAATCAATCTGCAGTTAATTTTAGTGTAAGGTGTGAGGAAGGGGTCCAGTTTCTGCTTTCTGCACATGACTAGCTGGTTTTCCCAACACCATTTATTAAACAGGGAATCCTTTCCCCATTGCTTGATTTTGTGAGGTTTTTCAAAGATCAGATGGTTGTAGATGTATGGCGTTGCCTCCGAGGCCTGTGTTCTGTTCCATTGGTCTATATCTCTGTTTTGGTAATTCCTTATTTTTAAAAATATGTTTGCGGGCTGGGCGCAGTGGCTCACGCCTGTAATCCCAGCACTTTGGGAGGCCAAGGCAGGTGGATCATGAGGTCAAGAGATCGAGACCATCCTGGTCAACATTGTGAAACCCCGTCTCTACTAAAAACACAAAAAAATTAGCTGGGCCTGGTGGCACGTGCCTCTAATCCCAGCTACTCAGGAAGCTGAGGCAGGAGAATTGCCTGAACCCAGGAGGTGGAGGTTGCGGTGAGCCGAGATCGCACCATTGCACTCCAACATGGGTAAGAAGAGCGAAACTCCGTCTCAAAATACATATATATATATAATGTTTGCCATGTGACGCTAACTTGCAATAGGTGTCATAATGAGAGTAACCAAAACTGGGTAAATGTGACAAAAGATTGACAAACTGTTTCACACCCTTAAATTATACTATGTCAAGAATGAGGAGAAAGCATTGCAAAAGGCTACTGCAATGCTACTTATATTCTTGCAATAAAACCAGCAAAGCATCCATATCAAGAGAGTTCTCATCTCACTTCCAACATTTGCCCCTCAGGAACAATTTGAATGTCTGGCATCCAAAGTCTCATAGGTCAATAAAACTTCTGGTGGATTTTTATTCTCCTTTGCATGACTTTTCAAGATAAAAGTTTTACTTGTTCATATAAAAGGGTTCTTATTTCTTGTTCAATGGCAGATTGAGTTTCTGGACTTAGTTTCTCTGTATCACTGTAGGTCATAACTCCAAACTTTTCACTAACTCCAAATTTGGTAACTATCCACCTTGCTATTTTAGTGGCATTATCAAAATCACTAGAAGTACCAGTTGTAACATGGTAGGTTTGAAATATAAGCTCCTCTGCCACTCTCGCCCCCTTACTGACATCCATTTGTGCAAGCAGCTGGACTCCAGTTCCATTTCGTCTGTCACGCTGGGTAACGGGAAGACATGTCCAAGTGTCAGCCCTTGTGGCATGATTGTAGCTTTGTGGACAGACGTTTCATCCTTTGTGTAATATACAATAATGGCAGATTCATGATACACTGTGATGGATTTGTTTTTGTTACGAATTTTTATGCTTCTTTTCTCAGGCCTCATAAGAATTTTATTTTTGGAAAACTCCAATTCCCTTATGGTAAACATTTCTTTTCCATCAACAGTCGTAAAAGGGCATATATTTGGTGTGATTTAATGTATACAAAATGTCCCAAATAGACAAAGCAATAGAAACAGAAAGTAGAGGCAGGTGCAGTGGCTCACGCCTGTAATCCCAGCACTTTGGGAGGCCGAGGCGGCTGGATCACGAGATCAAGAGATCGAGACCATCCTGGTCAACATGGTGAAACCCCGTCTCTACTAAAAATACAAAAATTAGCTGGGCGTGGTGGTGCACGCCTGTAGTCCCAGCTACTCAGGAGGCTGAAGCAGGAAAATTGTTTGAACCCAGGAGGCGGAGGTTGCAGTGAGCCGAGATTGCGCCATTGCACTCCAGCCTGGATAACAAGAGTGAAACTCTGTCTCAAAAAAAAAAAAGAAAGAAAAAGTAGATTAGTGATTTCTTAAGGCTGAGGAAGAGGGGAATTAGGACTGACTAAATAGGGGGTTCTTTCTGAGGTGATGGAAATGCTGTGGAATGGGGTAGGGATGGTGATTGCACAGCATAGTGAATATACTAAAAACCATTTATTTGTACAGTAAAAAAATGGTGAATTTCATATGGTGTGAGTTACATCACATAACCAAGTAAATAAATAAATAATTTATATTTAGGTTTCTGCCCAGGGTTTGGAAAGCTGCAAAGAGTTTCACTGCAACCCTAACCATGAGTAAAACTCAGATCAGCTCTATAATGTAGACTTCATGTGAGACTGTCAGAAATCTGAGCTCTGGGAGCAGATGAGTAACCTAAATGCCAAGGAGGAGTAGGATGCCGTGACAGGCTCCACAGAGGCAGAATGCACGAGGATGCCATGACAGGCTCCACAGAGGCAGAACGCACCAGGGTGCCGTGACAGGCTCCACAGAGGCAGAATGCACGAGGATGCCATGACAGGCTCCACAGAGGCAGAACGCACCAGGGTGCCGTGACAGGCTCCACAGAGGCAGAATGCACGAGGATGCCATGACAGGCTCCACAGAGGCAGAACGCACCAGGGTGCCATGACAGGCTCCACAGAGGCAGAACGCACCAGGGTGCCATGACAGGCTCCACAGAGGCAGAACGCACGAGGGTGCCATGCCAGGCTCCACAGAGGCAGAACGCACGAGGGTGCCATGCCAGGCTCCACAGAGGCAGAACGCACCAGGGTGCCATGACAGGCTCCACAGAGGCAGAACGCACGAGGGTGCCATGCCAGGCTCCACAGAGGCAGAACGCACGAGGGTGCCATGCCAGGCTCCACAGAGGCAGAACGCACGAGGGTGCCATGCCAGGCTCCACAGAGGCAGAACGCACGAGGGTGCCATGCCAGGCTCCACAGAGGCAGAACGCACGAGGGTGCCATGACAGGCTCCACAGAGGCAGAACGCACCAGGGTGCCATGCCAGGCTCCACAGAGGCAGAATGCACGAGGATGCCATGACAGGCTCCACAGAGGCAGAACGCACGAGGGTGCCATGACAGGCTCCACAGAGGCAGAACGCACCAGGGTGCCATGACAGGCTCCACAGAGGCAGAACGCACGAGGGTGCCATGCCAGGCTCCACAGAGGCAGAACGCACGAGGGTGCCATGACAGGCTCCACAGAGGCAGAACGCACGAGGGTGCCATGCCAGGCTCCACAGAGGCAGAACGCACGAGGGTGCCATGCCAGGCTCCACAGAGGCAGAACGCACCAGGGTGCCATGCCAGGCTCCACAGAGGCAGAACGCACGAGGGTGCCATGACAGGCTCCACAGAGGCAGAACGCACGAGGGTGCCATGCCAGGCTCCACAGAGGCAGAACGCACGAGGGTGCCATGACAGGCTCCACAGAGGCAGAACGCACCAGGGTGCCATGACAGGCTCCACAGAGGCAGAACGCACGAGGGTGCCATGACAGGCTCCACAGAGGCAGAACGCACGAGGGTGCCATGACAGGCTCCACAGAGGCAGAACGCACCAGGGTGCCATGACAGGCTCCACAGAGGCAGAACGCACGAGGGTGCCATGACAGGCTCCACAGAGGCAGAACGCACGAGGGTGCCATGACAGGCTCCACAGAGGCAGAACGCACGAGGGTGCCATGACAGGCTCCACAGAGGCAGAACGCACCAGGGTGCCATGAC